AAATGTTACAGTTGAGATTTTGTACATCTTTATTACTATTTTCTAGTTACTTTTCAAGGATATCTAAGTTTATACTTAGTATTGATTTCAGACTAGATTGAAAGATACCTACTTTCCTCTTGTATTGGGGTCTCTTCCCCTTCCTCTCTTTTTAAATAGACTAGATTGAAAGATACCTACAAAAAAAAGTCGATGTCACTTTTCTTAATTAAATTACTGCCCAAAATATTGAACTCCCATGTTGTGAGGAGTGAAATCTAAGACTGCATTTTTTTGCAGAATGGCCACTCTCAGACGTGAACCTATGTTCTAAACTTCTAAACTTTGTAACCCTTAGGTTTTACCCTTGAACCTATGAAGGGGACAAATACAGACACACAACTGCTGATATGTTTTGGGCTTCTACGGTAAGACAAGATGTGTATTTGTTTTTGATAAATCCCAGACTTGTTTTAATTACTTTTCCTCCTATGTTGTTACATTGTTGGATGCTAGAACATTAAATTATAGTTTTTTTATTTTTAAATTAACTTATTTACAATTATATAAAGCTTGTAACTATCATTATTAATATATCTTTAGGATTTATTTGAGTTTTTTAGCATATTTATGCATATCTTGATTTTTCATCCATATTTATACGTATCCAAAGCGTATCCCAATATGTCTCTTAAAATTATCTTTCCGATACAATTTACGTTTCCGATACTTTAAACCTTGGTTACTAGGTCCTGCGCATAAACATTTAACATGTATGTAAGAGGAACTGATAAATATGTTTGAAAAACGGTCTTTTGATCTTTCTAGCTTTTGAAAGATCTTTAAAAAAAATTGCAACCAACGGTCTTTGATCTTTGAAGACCTGTGAAAGATCGTTAGTCTTTTGAGATCTTGCGCTTTTGGGACTTGCCAAAATCCTCCTTAATTAGCTGAATAGCTCATTGCTTTGTCTTTTAGTAAATTAGTTTTGTTTTTTCCCTTTTTTAGTAAGGCGTATTGAATGGTTGTTAATAGGGTTTTCAGCTCCTTAATGATTAAATTAAAACACCCCAGAGTGATTATCAATATATTTAATTCAGTAAACTGGTAGTCTGGTATCATAAAAGATTATCTGTC